AATATTGTTTCAGGGGGTTAGAGCAGGTTTCACAGGGAAGGTAATATTGAAGGATAGGTAAAAGCTCACCAAGAACAGGAAAAGAAGAAAAAGATCACACACAGAAAGGCACAAGAGAGAACACTGCATGTTAGGAAAACAGAAGCAGGTAGAGCCCATTTGGTGTACAGGGCACTTGGGATATGCAAGTCAAAGGATGGCAGAGGATCCTCTCACTGATATCCCCTGCCTATGCCCTGTTCACGTGAACAAGGAGTAAAATCTGCCGTTTTAATGCTATACTCTAAGGGAACTATAAATGGAAAATGTAATTAGGCTGGTAAAGTAGATTAAGGCGTCTGAGCTTCATACTATTCTGAATTGGAAGGTTATCATTTATCAAAAAAAAGTTAAAATACTAAGCTTTATGAATGACTTAAAGTTTTCTGAGATTAGAACAGAGTCAATGTTTTCCTTTTAACATTATTTTGATTTATATTCTGACAAGATTTTCTCAATGAGAGAACAAAGAGTGAGATCACACTCTACCCAAATGCAGACCTGCATATAATCCTGAGTATTCATATGGACATTATGTTGTATGTTTGAATGCCATGCAACTCATCATCTGTCACAGAAGGAAAAAAAGGCTGAGCAACTTAGCTGTAGGAAATAGTTTGCAGATGGAAATCATTAAGCCAGGGAAAGCCAAGTATGGGTTTTAGAAAGTTTAATTCCACTGACAGGAAAGGAAGATGGCCCAAAGCACAGAGATAAACAGGGAGAGCAGTCTAGAAGTCACTGAGCAGGTGCTTTGAAAGACAAAGTTTAAGGAAGAAGCACAGAGGGAGGACACAGGGTCAGTGTATATTAAGCAGAGACTGAGTAGCAACTTAGAGTGGTGCGCGCAGGCTCAAGCAAGTCCAATCCTTTGCAACCCCATGCACTGTAGCCCACCAGGCTCCTCTGCCCATGGAATTTTCCAGGCAAGAATACTGGAGTGGGTTGCCATTTCCTACTCCAAGGGGTCTTCCCAACCCAGGGATCAAACCTGCATCTCCTGCACTGCAGGTGGATTCTTTACCCCTCTCCCCCTCGAGGACCATGAAGTTCGTAGCATAGAGACCGAATGGGAGCTGTTAAGGGAGCCCCTAATCCCTGATCAGGGGACACATGAAGCAGCAGAAGAAATCTAGGGGGGAAGAAAATGTATGATTTCAGACACTTAATGGTACACAGCTGTTAGATTCTTTAGATAAGATGATATGAGGAGCCTTGGCACATCCAAGTGTATCTGTTCAGTAGACAAGTGAAAACACAGTGCTGAGCCTCTGAAAAGAACCCTGTTCTGAAGACGTGAGACCACAGGAGTGGACGAAATTAAGGGAACTAAATAAAGAAAAGACAAAGAAAAATGCCATATTTAATAGGCAGATAGAGTAAATACAGCTAGGATAGTTTCAAGAAAAGGAAGACAGCCTATCACACAAAATAAAGAGCCAAGTTTTTGAAATATATGCATAAGATCTTCCAGTGACAACGTATAAGATAATGAAATGAGATATGGCAATTAAATGTTTATAATGCTTATATGTTTAGTAAAATTTTATAACGTTTAATATAAAGCCATATGATATTAGTGGTTAAGGATAAAGGCTCTCAATTCAGAAGGACCTGGGCTGCACTCCCAGCTCTGCTATCCTGGGCAAGTTAAACTTTCTAACCTTTAATTCTCAAACTATCATGTCTCTAACAGTACTCACCTTCCTTACAGGATTGTGGTGAGGAATAAATGAGATAATGTAAAATACTTAAGAAAAGTGCCTGGAACACAGGAAGTAATCAAACAGTGGCAGTTATTATTAAAATCATTTTTACCAGGGAAAAAAACCAGAAAATCATTGTGAACTATCATCTGAAGGCAACTTTGCTGCTGGAGCCAAAAAGGCCAACACATGTTAAATATCAAGGGGATATAAAACATGACCATTTCTTTCTATAGTACATCTTAGCTGGAACCACTATGTGGAATTATATGGTAAGATAAAAATGGGAATTAAAATACAACACAACAAAATATATTGGATCTTCAGTTTGAGAAAGAGAAAAACTAACATGCTAAGTGTCTATGCACCAGATGTCTCCTATCACTCAAGAAAAAAGAACTGACCAGCAGATGGAGCCCTCTAGACTATATGGGTAAGGGAAAACTCCCTATAGTGAAAAAGGATGACTCATTAGGATGTCTAAATGTTATCCCTTAAAGATATTTAAAAGATATTTAACTTCCTTTGTTTTAACCACCAAACAACTTTACTAGTAGCAAGATTTCTGACATAACACTGATATTTATATTCTGACTAGTCGACATATTCTAGAACATAAAATATCAGAATTCTCTAAAATTTTACAAATTAAAAAATAGATAATTCTGGTTTTGCACTTGGATAGTGAAAAATGAGTGATCTGACTCTGAGATACTTGTGGGAAATCTACAAGTCTCAAAAACCAGGCCCTGGATTATAACGTACCCTTGTGATGCCCAGCTTAAACTGGCCTAAGAAAGCCCAGGATTCTTCATCTAAGGTCATCACATTGACAAACAGAAATCAAGGTTTTGTGATTGCTCCTCAACGTTTTTGTCCTTGGATGAACTACTAGTTAACTATCTAGACCTATACCTGAAAGAAAATCAGAACTACCAGGTGATTAAAAAAAAAGCAACTACTAAAATGAGAGATAAAGTTTAACCTTATTTGTAAACACAAACAAACTATATTCACCTATCTCTGCATGTTCAGAAGCTCCTAAAATAAAGTTAAAATGAATAAAAACAATAAGTTAATTGAAGATTCAAGTGGTGGACTGTCCAAACCTACATTTAAGGATTAAAACAGAAGGATGGATTTCATCATTATATTGTTTTAGATGACAGTGTCCACAACCCACAGACTCTCATTGCCTCAACAGAACTTGTTTGTCCAAGTTTGGCCCACAACCAAATGAGTACAGATCCCACTATTAAGATTTTATGGCACATCTACAGACAATTAGCACTGACAATGATTCACTGACTTTTCCCTTACCTTCCCTAAGCTGTCAAGTTCACGTGCCCAGGGAGTAAAACCTGTAATTTTAATGCTATACTCTAAGGAAAACATTTTTAGTTTGTAAAATCACCATGAAAGAGCAAAAACCCAAAGACACCAAATAAAGTACTCCGAAGGGAAACATAATGTTGTTTACTTCATTTGGGTATAAGATCCCATTTTTAATTATCCTACAATACAACTACATATAAACAAGTAAATAAAAACAATAACAAGGTCAAGGATTCTGTGACATATAGGCCTAAGGCAAGACTATTTAAGCAGCCTGACTAAATGAGAGCATCCACAAATAAAAATTAGAAGGAACATAGATGACTTCCATTGAGAAGATAAAACAGCTTCCATGCTCCCCTGTAACAGTAATAGCCCTTAAGTTACGGAAATCAAAATACAAAACTAGGCCCAAAGTCTTTAAATCCTTTACTTTTTCATTCAAGGGACACAGTGTAAAGCCCTAGCTACTCGCAATCAGAGAGGTGACACAATGCCTGATGAACCAATGAGTAACTCCTATTAGATCTACATCACCAAAAGATCCAAACGATAAATCATTTGGCAAGACTATTTAAGCAGCCTGACTAAATGAGAGCATCCACAAATAAAAATTAGAAGGAACATAGATGACTTCCATTGAGAAGATAAAACAGCTTCCATGCTCCCCTGTAACAGTAATAGCCCTTAAGTTACGGAAATCAAAATACAAAACTAGGCCCAAAGTCTTTAAATCCTTTACTTTTTCATTCAAGGGACACAGTGTAAAGCCCTAGCTACTCGCAATCAGAGAGGTGACACAATGCCTGATGAACCAATGAGTAACTCCTATTAGATCTACATCACCAAAAGATCCAAACGATAAATCATTTGGCTTCAATGTATGTTGAACATCTTATTACCTAACGATGTTGGTTAAATGGGACAGATCCTGAAAACTTGGCAATCTGTTTCAGAAAGTGCGAAATTAATGTCATTTCTTACATAAAGTGGTGTGCTTCAGATTTTCAATTCTAAGTTTGAGTTCCTGGGAAATATTAGACAACAACAAAGTCAATTTCAAAGGCATTTAAGTTTTTCAATATTTTATGAAATAAAAACAGAAAAATGGAATAATTATGAAATTCTATTATTCTATGAATGGTGTGAGTAGAAAAATCTATGCATATCCCAGATTTAATCAAGAGAACTTCAGAAGGGCTGTGATTTCCCCGGTGTCACAGAGTTTGTTGGTAGCAATCGGGGCATGGCATTCCTCTTGAAATTCCAAAAAATTAATATTGAAGAGTTACACACAGTCCCTCTTGTTACTAGCATCACGAATCTGAATGCCCACCGGAAACCTAGCAAATTGCAAATACCGAAGAATTAACTGCTCAATGTCTGGAACTTAATTTTACTCCAACATCCAAATGATTTCTACTAAAAAATACAAAAACAAAAAACACCCTCTCAGAGACATCAACTTTTTGGAAGCAGATTCTTCACCTGCTCCGTCAGTGCCAAAGACAGAAATCAAACACAGAGCTACTACCACCTTCGGCAATAAACCTAAGTTCAACGCAGGGTGTGCTCCGGCTGCCGTGGATCCTCCTGCTCCACCGCCCTTTCTCGGGAGGCTGCCCCCAGCTTCCCAGACACGCTGCCTCCCGTGACTCTCTCCCCGCGTGACAGCGCGCCCAGCGGGAATCTCGCTCGCAGGCGGCAGAAGCGACACCCCACACGCTTCTCCAGCTCTTTCCCTGAGAAGGCCCCTCCAGACCAGGCCCCCACTACGACCACCCACTCGACCTCTGTGCAGCCGCGAGGGTCGCTGACCTCCCAGCCTCCTCTAAGCCAATGGGGGACTGACGGGGGTTCCCGGCCGGGGGCCGGATAGGAGGAGCCAGCGGGCGCCGGGCCCCTCCTCCCGGGGCTTACCCTCCGCCGCCTCCTGCACGCGGCAGCCGCCCCGCTTCCTTGCGCAGGAGTCCGAAGCATTGCGTCCAGCAGCAGTTCCCCATCGCATGCCGTCCAGGCGTCGCCGCTCCTCCTCCTCCCACTCAGAGCCCAAACCCAGGCCCGGCAGCCGCATTCGCGCGGCACGAGCCGAATGGGGGCTCGGGCGCCGAGGGCGGGCCGGCCGGAGCGCGGCGGCCTGAGAGGCGAGGGCGACGGAAGGAACAAAGACAGCGATTACTCTTGCGGCCGCCGAGTCGCGGCCGCGAGAGGGAGGAGGGCCGGGCAGCGTCTGGACTCCCTCGCAGTCCGCATGGCCCCTCGGTCGCCTCAGCCCCGCAAACCCAGTTCGAGTGACCGCCTCCTGCCGCCGAAGGAGGGCAGTCCCCGCCCTCCGGCGCGCCCAAGCCGGCGCCTCGCCACCGACGCCGTCACACCCCCGGCCTCTCCCGGGCCCCAATAGGCCGTTCCCTCGGCCGCCCCGCCTCCTGCGGCGACTGTCCCTGACGTCACTTCCGGCAGCATCGGCGTGTGTAGTTGAGTTCTTGAGCGTGTTTTTGTTCTGTTGGACCTTGACCTGACTACGAAATCTTTACACCTTGCAGTTACCCGCCTCTGGTCCCAAGAGTCTCCGGTGTCGTCGGAGCAAGGCTCAGTTTTCGAACTTTGTACCAAAGCCTTGTGAGCCCCAGGTCAAGAGGGATCAGGTGTGAAGAGGGCACTTCTCTGGAGGTTTTGTGTATATTACACCCTAAGTGGCAAATAGTCAGGGAACTGATTGTGGTTGTTTTGAAGCATCAAGGATTTTTTCTCTTTGGTTTCCAGTTTGCGTTTCAATCTCCATACTGTGAGCATTGTAGGGAAGTTTATGAACAGTACCCTACTGGCTTTGCTTTGTTTAAAATCAAGTCTTCAAATAATTTCGGAGATCTAGAGGAAACACATTAGAGGCCTAAGATAATTCAGGGACACTAGACTTACCAGTCCAAGTGTATTTTCCAGAACAGTAGTAGATGGGAAGAGATAGCTACTCTGATGCGACTTGGTTGCCCCACTGTCCTCAAGTGCTGCTTTAAAACTGGGTTTTTGTCTCTGGTTGACCTTAAAAACGGTGTAAGGCATAACTTAGTAAACGCATGGTCTAGTAGATAGGATGCTAACTAACCAGAAGTGTCCATTTTTAGACTGCCTTAATTTAACCTAGGAAAATTGTTACATTAAAAAAATTATTAATGATAACATGTTCTTTGACCTCTTCATTTTCTTGCTTCCTGAGTTCTACATCCACCTGGGTTTCAATCTTAACCCTGCTACTTAACTCATTTTGACCCTATTTTGGTCTTAGTCATTTTTTTGTAATCAAGTGTATAGGGATATATTTGGCCCAATAATCTGTTATCAGTGAGTGTTGTTGGAATGACTCAATAATTTCCTGAATAATGACTATTTTCTTTCTCTCTTTCACCCCTGAAATCAAGTAAATGTGTTTGTGAAGCAGTCCTTAAAATTTAACTCTAATTGTTTAAAGAAACTATTTCTTTATTTCTATTCCAGAATTTTCTATTTCTATTCTATTTCTATTATTCTATTTCTAATTTCTACTCCAGTGGCATTTCCACTGCATGGAATACTACTCAGCAACAGAAAGGAACATATTATTGACACACACACTGGAGGAGGCGCATGGCAACCCACTCCAGGATGCTTGCCCGGAGAATCCCCATGGACAGAGGAGCCTGGCGGGCAGCGTTGGACAGGACTGAGTGACCAAGCTCGGTAGAGCACAGTGACACACTCCTTAAGAGGATCTGTCGCGAAGTATGCTGATCGGATACAGCATCAGATGCCCAACTCTACAGTTGGGGATGGTTATGAAATCACTAAGACAATAGACAAATGTATTCTGGTAAGATATATATGTTTCATGCATTACAGCTAAAGAATTTATTCGTATGGCAATTGCCCAGACACAACGTTGAGTTTACCAGTAAGAGACACAAATAGATTATTTACAATGATAGCCACTTAATGTCAACCTTCTAGAGAGATACCACTTGCGCACCTTCCAGGTAGTGGGACTTTTTTGTCTTTGCCATCCCTTTCAGAAGTTCTTTTCTGTCTTATAGTTTATCCCGCAATCAAAGCAAGAGGTTTTCTTATACATGCTCTGGAGTCAAATCAGGATGCAATCTGTACCTTGAACTGTCTTTTGGATTGCTGCTGCTGCAGCTGCTGCTGCTAAGTCGCTTCAGTCTTGTCCGACTCTATGCGACCCCATAGATGGCAGCCCACCAGGCTCCCCCGTCCCTGGGGTTTTCTAGGCAAGAACACTGGAGTGGGGTGCCATTGCCTTCTCCAATACATGAAAGTGAAAAGTGAAAGTGAAGTCGCTCAGTCGTGTCCAACTCTTCGTGACTCCATGGACGGCAGCCTACCAGGCTCCTCCATCCATGGGATTCTCCAGGCAAGAGTACTGGAGTGGGCTGCCATTGCCTTCTCCGGTCTTTTGGATTATGTAGTTCCAAATTTGAATCTCTTTTTGCTCATAACTCCTTCTATATTAACTATTAATCACCTTTTGTTGTTTTGAGACTGGTTGCTACCATCATGTTGTTCTTGGGGCTATGGTTTCCCTGCTTGGGAAGAATTCTCTGTACCCCATTAGCACCCTGGCCTACTGATTTATAGATGTAAATGCATCCTTTTAATTCACTGGAGCATGTTTGAATTACCGAAATTTGCACAGGATAGTACATATGCCCACTGCAGATAATAATATTTGGCATTGTCAGTATAAATGATTAAGCATTTAATCAAATGCTTAGTAACATAAAAGTAAGGGCTTAGCAAAATACAATTACACTATAATTCCTGTAATGTGCTGTATATTATGCTATAATTATGTGTAATATCATAAATGTAATATAAATATTAGTTGTTACTATTATCCACAGGCCAAAGGAGATTTTCATCAACAAGGATTCTCTCCTTTGTAGCTATATCCTTGGAATTCCATGAAAAAAAAGTTAGCTTTTTCAAAATTCTACCTCTTATACATGCATTCAGGCATACCCTACATTACTTCTTGAAGTCAGGCTCTAAGAAAGTGTGGCCTAAATAGGAATGAGTTCTCCAACTCTCAGGACTTATCTGTCCCATGATCTGCCTCTTCCTAGGATGATCGAAAACGAGAATATCCACTAACTTAATAGGGAGACCTCATCCCTGGCCAACTAGGAGTTTTTGTCTTGGAAACCCCAAATCTCACCATAACACAATAATCCAGTATCATTATGGTCCCTAAAGTCTTGTTATTAGTTTTATTTTTAAATTTTTGATCAGACTGGGTCTTCATTGCTGCATATGGGCTTTCTCTAGTTGTGGTGAACAGGGGCTACTCTCTAAGTTGCCGTGAACAGGCTTCTCACTGTGGTGACTTGCCTTGTTGCAGAGCATGGGCTTTAGAGCATGAACTGAGTAGCTGTGATGCATGGGCTTAGCTGCCCTGCAGCCTCTGGGGTCTTCCCAGAGCAGGGACTGAACCTGTTTCCCTTGCACTGACCACTGGGACCACTTAACCACTGGACCACCAGGGAAGTCCATTAGTTCTTAACTATGTAAAAAGACCAATAGTCCAGTCCAGGCTTGACTTAACCCAGCATTGCCTAGTTTTTTGGTACATATTTACCTGCATTATGAAGTGAAAAATTAAGTTGCACTAAAGCTAATTTCTGCCTCTGAATACTCAACGATGGCGTGAGAAGAGCATAGTTCTAAAAAATTAAGTCCTAACATTTTGCAGGCATCTCGCAGCTTAACTTCAGAAACAAACATTTCTCCAAAAAAAGTCCAAGTGAACCAGCTCTGCCTACAATGCAGACCACCTTTGCATTATCATACAAGAGAGGCTTAACTTCTTAAAATCACTCTTCTCAAATGCCTTTAATTTCTGCAGTGGTCTTTTTGCAGAGGTAAATAGCTAAATGGATCCTTTAAGTGATTGTCCAAGAACAAAGGAATACAGAGACAGGCTTAAAGATAAAAGGAAAACTAGAAGGGGAAATTACTTAACTCTTGGCTGAATCACCAATGCCCCATTTATTCTCACTTTTGGTTGTGTAATGAGCTTTATTAGTTGCTCAGTATGACTGAGTACAGTGCACATTGAGTGATTTCCTTCCTTCTTTGCTCATTCAACATTTACAGGTCACAAAGTGAGGGATTAATAAGAGCAGTTATGTGATTAATATGGAGTGCTTCCATTGGGTAATTTGTTTCAGACCTCTCTTGCCTGTTCAGAAACTATACTAGTAATTTGAGCAGGGAAAACTTAACAGAAGGCAGCATTAAGTAGGTAAGTAGTGGTTAATTCTAGAAGAAACTCGAAGGTCTAAAAGATGTAGGTACTACAGGGAGCCACCACTGGCTCAGGACTGAGGAAAAATGAAGAAGAAATTTAGATATTTAGAGGAAGGCCCTACATGGTAGACATTCAAACCTCTGAGAAGACAGTGTGAATGCCATAGAAACATGCTACCCATGACTGTGGTAACTGAGAAGCTACATGGGACATGTCCGCCTGTGAACCTATTTCTGTGGGCTGGGGGTGGGGCGTTCACCATTGAAGTAGGAGGGCTGTGGCCACTATGGTGATCACTCCTAGGGTTCCTTCCTGCTGATTTGCTTGCCACCATACGGAGAATAGAACAGAAGAAAAAGAATGAATTGCTTCTTCCTTCCTTGCGGTGTTCCTCCAGCAACCTTATTAAAAGATCCCAACATAGAACCTGCCTGTGAAAGAGCAAGGTATTCTGCAAAATTGATTTGTAGCATCAGAAAACAGGGCAAAGAAAGGTGGGAGATACAAAGGAAGTTTTTTTAATGTTGATGTGATCTGGGTTAGGGAAAAAAAACGAAACAAGGCTTATCGTCTTACTAGTTAAGGAACTGGAATTTACACTAACCTCAGGGTCTTGAAATGCCAGGCCAAGACATCAACATAAAAAGTGAGTTTTGATGCAATGATAGCCTTGAGATTTCTTGCAAATTAAAAACAGATTCTCTATGGGGGGAGATAACACATCTAGTTTGCACAGGACTTCTGTAAATATAAAACCACACTGAAAATGAACCTGCAGTCACATATTACAAACTACCATGACATAGGCAAGACACAGGGATAGCAGAGGAAAAAATTCCTGTTAGAATAAATGTAATAAAGCAATCAGATACTATAAGATATTTTTAAAATACTTAATGTCATAAAAAGAAGGCAGGGATACAAGAGAATAGTTAAAACAATAGACATGAAAAATGAAGATAATAAAATTAAACTAATGGATAAACTTCTGCTTTCAGTTAAGATGTAGAATGACGTGAAAGACAAATCATAGCAACAAGAAAAACCTCAACAAAAAATCATATTTTTCAATGAGGTCAGCAAGGAACGAAGAATTCAAGAAA